TAAGATGACGTATGGTTTTGAAGCTATGTTGCCGGTTGAAGTCAGAGAGCCAACCTGGAGAAGGAAAATGATATTAGAAGGAAAATGATATTAGAAGAAAATGAAGACGGTAATGCTGAGATGATGAAAATTGATTTACAATTGTTAGAAGAAGAACGAGAAAAGGTGGCAATGGTTGAGTTGGCATCTAAGCAACGAGGTACAATCGGACTGTAGTCAAAAGGACGTTTCAGGAAGGAGATTTGGTGCTTAGGCGGGCAGACGTGGGTAATAAAAATGCAAGAGATGGAAAAATGGCAGCTAATTGGGAAGGTCTTTATCGAGTAACAGTTGCCACAAAGACTGGAGCTTATCAGATAGAGCACTTGGATGGGAAACCGATTCCGCGATATTGGAATGCTGCCAAGTTAAAAAGGTACTTTAGTTGAAGAAATCCAGATTTAGTTGGAAGTCGGATGGCAGATCGTAGGTCGTAAATTAGATGTAGTTTTATATTGATGATTAGGAAGTAAGTTTAGTTTGTTAATTTAGTAGGAGTATTTTATGTTATTATGTGTTGCAGTTATTTTGCATTTAAGTATGGTATATTTGACATTGTGAGTTACAATATTTCAATTCAATAAAGCCAGTTCGACTTCATTGACAAAGTCCTACTCGGAAACGGGAAAACAAAGTCCCTTGCCGCCTTAATTGGCCTCTTGGGCAGCCGTTCAATTCCTACTCGGAAACGGGAAAACAAAGTCTCTTGCCGCCTTAATTGGCCTCTTGGGCAGCCGTTCAATTCCTACTCGGAAACGGGAAAACAAAGTCCCTTGCCGCCTTAATTGGCCTCTTGGGCAGCCGTTCAATTCCTACTCGGAAACGAGAAAACAAAGTCCCTTGCCGCCTTAATTGGCCTCTTGGGCAGCCGTTCAATTCCTACTCGGAAACGGGAAAACAAAGTCCCTTGGCGCCTTAATTGGCCTCTTGGGTAGCCGTTCAATTCCTACTCGGAAACGGTTAAGCAAAGGCAGAATGATGCGTAGACAAAGTGACGTACATTTAAGTAATGAGGCAGTGTAATGGTGCCGAGAAGAATAAGCAAGTACTTAAGCAAGTATTAGGATCACATAGTTATCAAATTCAAAGGATAACAATAAGTAAACTAAAACACATCATTCTACTTCATGATTACAAGTGCAAAATATTGAAAAAAACAAGTAGCTTAGAAGTACAGGATTACAGTAGTTATAATAGAAAAGCTGAGTACAAAATAAAATGGTGTCTAACTTTTTTAAGTAGTCTTAGGAACAGTATTTGAGGCAGCAGGGTCGGAAGTAGGAGTAAATCCCAGATAATCAGAGGGGTTTTCAGCAAGTACAGCAATTGATCCTTTTTCGTCATGAGTACATAGTCGGTCATTATCAATAAAATTGAAAGTTTCTATTTTGCTCAAATGAGGCAAGGGAGAGTCTGGATGGAAAAATTTCACTTGATCCACAACCCAACCACGAATTTGATGACCGAAGGCAACATACTTAGAATCCATGTCATCAGCAGCCTGTTGTAAAGCCAGAACATTTTTCTTCAGAGTATCCACTTCTAGCTCTAACTCAGCTACCCGGAGGTCATAATCTTCAAAGTTTTTTGTCAACACTTGGTGTTTGTCAGTCAACACTTGATGCTCTTTTTTGAGGGTAGCAAGTTCCTCATTGCTTTTCTTACTTGATTCTTCATTTTCTTTGAGTTTAATTTGGAAGCCCTGAGCAACAAACTCGGCAGCTTCGGCCTTTTGAAGGAGCTGTGCTTTTTCGGTTTGAAACTTTTCTTTTAAAAGTTGTGACTCTTTCAGTTCAGTTAAAATTTGTTGGCGTTCAGCTAAAGCGAGAAGGGCCATTTCGTAGTAGTGCGCCTCCCGGAGAGAGTGATCCCGGATGTCGGTGAATTTGGCAATAAGTTGATCTAAAGAGAATTTGTCCCATTTTTCCCGAAGCCCGGGAGTAAAGCACGGCTTCAATTTTTTCATAAAAGGGGGATCTGAGCGAGGGGTAGCCATGACAGAAGAAGGTGGAGTTGAAGACTTTTCAACAGAAGAGTCAGGACTAGGTTCGTTAATTCGAACTCGTTTTCTTCGAAGGAGCTTGCTCGAATCAATTGGGGCCTCTGCGTCCATTATAACAGTATCATCCGGGATAGAACCTGTAGCGGAAGTAGCCGGCATAGGAGAACGAGTGGGAGATATGTCCTTTCCACCTGAAGCAGATGAATCGCCTTTACGGGTAGCCTTTTGCTTTTGGCGGGCAAAAAAAGTAGGGTCCATGACTTTATCTGGAAACCACAGATACAAAGAAAATAGATTTAAGGTTAAAGGCAATATATAGATAAAAACATATTAGAATTATTTAAGTTACTTACTTAATTTCCTGCAAACCCAGTCAGAAGAATCTTTATAAGTTAGAATAGACCGAGGAATGAGGGAAATATTTTCCTTAGCTAATTCGGAGGCAAGCTTTTTGAACCAAGTATAAGTTTCAGTTTCGTCTGGGCTCAAATTCTTTGAATTCGTCAAGAATGCTTTGGCAGAAGTTGTGTAATGATGACGGTTCCAACTGAGAGGAAAGCGCGGAGCTCCGTTGTGATCCAAAAAGAATGCAGAAGGAGGGGCAGGTTGAGAAGAGGAGGAAGAGGCAGAAGGTGTAGCAGGAAGAGCTTCAGGAATACAGATTTTGAAGTATTCTCCTTTGAAATTTTTCCAGTTATCTTCATATATAGAACACCAACGTAACCCGGGTCGAGCTTTTAAGGATACCCAGCTATGACGAGTACATCTTTTATCTACAACATTTCGGAACACAGCAAAAAGGCAGAAAAAGACCCGAAAGGAATAGGTGAATCCAAACGAACGACAGATTATCTCGAAGGTATGTAAAAAACACCAACTGTTAGGATGTAGCTGAGAAGGAGCGACTTGCAAGTGATTTAAGACGTCCATTTGGAACTCGGAGAAAGGTAAAGGTATGAAGAGTTCAGAAAATAAACATTTGTAGGAAAAGAAGAAAGAGTTCTCACCTTGCCCGGAAGGCGAACAAATACGTTCTTCTTCTCCGGGTACTACAACTCGGAAAGAAGTGATAATTGAGTCACGAAATAGAGGTACAGTTTGTAAGGCAGTATGGAGGGAACTCGGCTGGTTTTCATAAGAGGAACGAAGCCCTAGAGCTTCTTCCTCAACCCATTCTAAACCTTCAACAGTAGAAGGTAGTGCGAAGCGAGAAAGGGGAAGCGAACGGTACGGACGATTCCTCGGCATGGCCTGGACGGAAAGGTACCAATAAAATCTATTTTAGAAGTTATAGTGCAAGATAAAATGTATATAACGCAAAATGTGTTCCTTACCCGTCCATAACACGATAGGGTGGTTAAAGAAAACCAAAGAAGAGGAAGAGATAAAGATCAGAAAAGTATGGAGTAAAGGAAAGAGATAAGGGATAAGATGAAAAGTTCTGGGCAAAGGTTTGTTAAGGAAATAGATGACAAGATAAGCATTAATATGCACAAATAATGCCAGAAATCAACCACGATGTAATACAAGAAATAGAAGAACTTACTTGTATAAGGTGCTGGGGGCTTCAAATAGGTGGTAAAAGAATGGTGGCAAGATCCACGCAGAGAAACCAGCAAAACAGAGAGGGAGAAAAACCAGGAAGAATCGCAAGAAAAGGGAATGTCAAGAGGAAGAAGAAGAAGAAAAAACGTAAGAAAATAAAAGAGGCAAACGGTAATATAAGGGTAGATTGGGGTAAGTGACGTTTCCGATTTTCAAAAATAATGATAGATGTCAGGATGAGTTGTTTCAGATGTCAAGTCGTTTCGAAGATCAAGGTAATCAGAGAGTGACAAGTGGCTATTGGAAGCTGAATAGGCAGGGAGTATTTAATAAGGATACTGACGTAAGGAAAAAGTAAAGAGCAGAATAAGTGAAACCTTAAGCGTTAAACTCGGAGTAAAAACCCATTTAACTCCGACTTTGGGGGCTTAATGTTCCGGGTTCATACACTGAGCCATACTTGCTCGTAAGAGTAAAGGACACGGAACCCGGATATACTTTACTCGGATAGGCGGTTAATCATGTCAGTAAATATTACACGTAGGGAAATTAGCAGTTGATTGAGTCAGCCAGTATTACAAGTAGTGGAGTTATAAGTGGGCCTACCACGATGCCACGATGGTACCCACCACTTCCATAATAGAGGTAACTGTTCAGAAGCTAGCCCCGTATATACACCAAGGATAGAGATAACACAGGGAGATAACCAGAATATAGATCCATATTAATGTTCGTCCAGAATATATATATATATATATATATATATATATATATATATATATATATATATATAACTAATTTAAGATTGGACAACTCCACTGCTTCCTTCAACTTATGATACTGTGCATATTGATTAATTTCAAGAGTGTTTTCTTCTTCTTTATTTTGCATAATTTGATAAGTTTATAAAGTTAATTTGTCGAGTTTTAAAAAGATGGCTTATATTTAGATTTTTTATTTATCGCATAATGAAAATTGTGTCATATACTGGAACGAAGATATGTATATTTACGTGAATAATATTTCTCAAAATTTTATTTTCTATACATATAATATGATTTTTTTTTCTTTTTTTACATGATCCAAATAGATCTAGCATACTTTTATTAATATATATATATATATATATATATATATATATATAAAAATAAAAGATAAAATTATCTCTTATGATATAAAAAATATTAGTCCCTTTATGAATTATTATTAATTGTTTTTTTTTTAATTTAACTAAAAAATGTCTTAGTTTTTCCAATAATAAGTGTATTAGTTAATTAAATCAACTTATCTACAAAAAATAAATAAAAAAAATAAAAAAATTCTACTTCAGTATTCACACTTTCACACACAGTATTTCCCATTTCCCATCAAAGCAGACAGTGGTTACGTGAATTCATATATTTGCGAGGCGGTTCATACACGACGACGTTTTCCCTGGTCCGAAACAATAATCAGAAGCCCTTCGCCGTTCGGATTACGCCACCGCCACAATCCTCCGGCGAACGATTTCTGGGTTTGTTATTCTCATCTCAAAGTTCCGATCTTTACTCTAAACATGGCAAAGGGAACAAGCTCAAAGATGAACATCGCTATAATTCACCCCGATCTTGGCATAGGTAATAACTATTGCTCCCATTACTTTCTATTTATTCAATTATAAAAAAATCAACAATTTGGTTCGGTCTCCATTCCGTTGATTTTTATTTTAAATTTTGGTTGTGGATAAAACAATAATTTACTATGTTTTTTTTCCCCCTATAGTTGACTTTTTTTGGTAACTACCTATAGTTGATTCCCATTTCCTTGAATTGTTTTGTAGGTGGAGCTGAAAGGTTAATTGTGGATGCAGCTGTTGAGCTTGCATCCCATGGTCATAAAGTTCATATTTTTACTGCACATCATGATAAAAATAGATGCTTTGAGGAAACTATTGCTGGTGTGTATGTATGTGTGTCATGTTTCTGTTTTTTGTTTGTAAAGAAATTGCATTGTCATTAAGATTTAGTTTGGTTTGTAAATGTTTCAGGTACTTTTCCAGTTACTGTATATGGTTCCTCTCTTCCCCGGCATATATTCTACCGTTTACATGCACTGTGTGCATACATTCGGTGCCTATTTGTTGCTTTCTGTGTACTTTTCATGTGGCCTTCATTTGATGTTATACTGGCAGATCAGGTCTCTGTAGTTATTCCCATCTTGAAACTTAAAAGATCAACAAAGGTAGTGAAATAACAAAATCATGTGTAAATAATTTAAGTTTTGATATGTTCAATTCTTCATATTTGTTTCATTTTCTTGGTAGGTTGTATTCTACTGTCATTTTCCAGACTTGTTGCTGGCTCAACATTCAACATTCATTAGGAGGATGTATAGGAAACCGATAGACTATGTAGAAGAAATAACAACTGGTTGGAATTTGTATCCCTACTTTTTATTATTATTTTTTACTATGATAATCTTTTGTCACATATATACTGAATCATGCATCTTATTAAGCTTTGCCCAATTGCAGGAATGGCTGATTTGATACTTGTTAACAGCATGTTCACTGCATCAACTTTTGCCAATACTTTTAAGCATCTAAATGCTAAAGGAATTCGACCGGCTGTTTTGTACCCAGCAGTCAATGTGGATCAGTTCAATGAACCCAGTTCCTTTAAGTAAATAACATGTTTGTAGAGATATGATTGATGCTTTACAAGATTATGCTTGTAGCTTGTTCTTGTAACTATTTTTTACAATAGTTTATTTATAGTTCTTAGTCTTGTTTTGTATTGTTTCTTCTGTTATAGGCTCAATTTTCTTTCCATTAACCGCTTTGAAAAGAAGAAGAACATACAATTAGCAATTTCTGCTTTTGCTATGCTTTGCTCGCCTGATGGAGTTCTTAAGCATCAAGACATTAGTAATGCTTCTTTGACTGTTGCAGGTGAGAGCATGTTTTGCTTATGGCTTTGTTCTTGTGAGGATAAATTGATAGATAGAATGGTGATGTTATGTGCATTATTAAATGTCATGGGAGTACCTGTCCTGATGTATGTGCCTCAGATTGGAGTTTGGTATAGTGGTTCTTCAAGATATAAACTATTATTTTAAAAGAATGTTGTGTTTGGTTTGTAGTTAAGTTTCAAAACTCTTCTATCCTTTAGAGACTTTGTTGTTCCGCAGAACTGCTCAATTGTGCATCAGCTGGGATTTGTCAGTGTTTCCCATTGAACCTTTTCATGATTGACATGGAAAGTGTGTTACTTATTTTCTGATATAATTACTTAACTCAAAATGAGTATTTAAAAACCATTTTTCGGTAACACAAAGGTCATGTATTATTCTTGTAAGTTCAATGCCATCATATGAGATATGGAGTGCATAGTTATAACTAGATTACAAACCTTATCATGAAGAAGCAGATTAAGATTTCTTGTTAAGATCTTCATATTGTTTTATGCAAGGCAATGTAGGTCATGTGATAATGAGTCCATTTGGTTTGATTATCACCAGAAGTCATCAACACTTCCCTAGGATAGTGAATGTTGTCAGAATTTATCACGATGAGTTTAAGTTTTTGGTGGCTGTTAATTCATTAGTCTAAAAATTAAAATAGAGTAGATTTGGTTGGACTTGGAAAAAAGTTGAGAGTAAGAAATTTATTGATTTCTATCTGCATGGTGTTTTAGGTTAGTTATATTTGAAAGCCTTCTTGTGGCACTTTGCTCCGGTTTATATATGTATTTTCTTAGCAGAATAGGTGGGTCCTAAGTTTGAAGCATTTGTGTCCGTCCAATTTGAGAGTACAAAATCTATTGTCAAAAAATTGTTCCAGGCGGCTTTGATAAACGGTTGAAGGAGAATGTAGAGTACTTAGAAGAGCTTAAAGATTTAGCTGAAAAGGAAGGGGTTTCTAATCAAATAAGATTCATCACATCTTGCTCTACAGCTGAAAGGAATGCTCTTCTTTCAGAATGCCTATGTGTCCTTTACACGCCAAAGGTATGTGAAACCTTATAAACTATGATTCCTGAAAATTGGTAGAAGTTGAATGAAGAAAAGAGAGTTTTATATAACAAACTTTATTTAATGCAGGATGAGCACTTTGGTATTGTTCCTTTGGAGGCAATGGCAGCTTATAAACCTGTTATTGCATGCAATAGTGGTGGCCCTGTGGAGTCAATCAAGAATGATGTAACAGGATTCCTTTGTGATCCTACACCACAAGAGTTTTCTTCAGCTATGTCTAGCCTCATAAATGATCCCCAGAGGGCAGAAAAAATGGGCAGAGAAGCTAGGAGGCATGTTGTTGAATCATTCTCTACAAAGACATTTGGCCAACGTTTAAATAGATATCTAGTTGACATTCACCGGGGAAAGGAGGATTGAGTTTAACATGGGATATAGCATGTTTTTGCTCTCAAATTGTTAACTGCAATTAGTGACCATTCAACGTGCTGTTCAGATTTTGGTTGACCTTGTCAATTTTTTATGTTACAAGTTCTATTTTCTATAAAAAATTTATTTCTATCCCATGTAAAGATCATGGCATGTTTAATGTTCTGAGGATTGCTCTTTTGCATTTTTTGCTGATAATATAAAAGCATTGAAAATGAAGTATGTATAGCTTATAGAAACCAACTAAAAATGCCTATAATCTTAAATAGAAGGTGCAAATCCAAGTCTGATTTTCTCTATAAGCGTGTCCCTGAGCAGAAAAGACCGAGCGGGATGACGATGGTTGTGGTCTCTGAAGCACGGACTTGTTTTTTTTTTTTTAAATGTGCGTGTCACACACGTGTCTGACACGGACACGTTTCGACACGTGATCAACTCTTCGACATATTTATGTGCGTGTCACACACGTGTCTGACACGGACACGTTTCGACACGCGATCAACATTTTGGGACACGTGATCAACTCTTCGACATATTTTTTTGACACGCAGTCAACTTTTTTTGACACGTGGTCAATTCTTCGACACGTTCTAACATGTTTTTTTTTTGTCTTAATTTTATTTTATTAACTAAAAATAAAAAAAATTATTTATAAATCAATTTTTTTCTGTTATGAAATTTGACATGAAAAATTAATAAGGTACGAAAAATTATTTTTGTTTATATTTATGTTATGAAATTTGAATATTTTTTTATTTTTTTTGGTTTCTCAAGGTATACTCCGGCCGACAGCCGAAGACTAATCTTTTCGAGGCAGGAGATCATATTAAGTGGGTAATTTTTTTCTGCTATGAAATTTAAATATTTGATTAGTTATATAACTTATTATAGACTATTATATGTGTTTATATTATATATATTAAAAATATTATTTAATATTAAAACGTGTTCTAACGTGTCGAAATATACATTTTTAAGGATTAACGTGTCGGCGTGTCGTGTCCCGTGTCAGTTTCGATGCATCATATGTTGGTTATGGTTACATAACCTGATAGGTGTAACCTTATGATCTGGAAACTTTTTTTTGTTTGTTAGTTTATGATATGGAAACTTAGTTTTGATATGTTTCTAGGAAATCCTTTGAAATCAGCACCCTGTCATCTTATACTGATATATATTGGAGTCTTATCTATAATATATTTCAAGGCTATAAGGACAAAGTTCACTACCTCCTCTTCTCCAAAACTGGCGGTGGCATTATCTTTTATAAGTTTGTTCTTGGATATCTTTAACTGTTATAGCATTATAATCCATCCTAGTATGATTCTTTTGTTTATTTTTATAATCCATCCTATAAGGACAAAGTTCACTACCTCCTCTTCTCCAAAACTGGCGGTGGCATTATCTTTTATAAGTTTGTTCTTGGATATCTTTAACTGTTATAGCATTATAATCCATCCTAGTATGATTCTTTTGTTTATTTTTATGTAAATAATTTTAGTCCTTTACAAATTTAATGATAAAGCTAAGAACGAAAATGATCATTTTAATTATTAATCATTGGTCTTTTGAAAAGACTATTAATATTTTTCACATAAGGAGTCACGGTTACGTCAAAAGGAGACATCATCCAATTTCTGAAAGAGATTGGCACAAAATTAACACATCACAAAATAATGTGAAATTTAGATATTAAAAAATCCACTCCCCTGTACATATTGGATGACAAGGCAATAATTATTCCAACTACTTAAATGTTTCTCCTTGTTATTATTGCACCTATGTTATTACTTGCCTTAATGGTTGAATGACAAAGTTGTGTTAATGGCCTTATTCGTATCATTAGTATGACCAACTCATGCTAGGCCGTGACTTATTGTCACAGAATGTTATTAGACATGTTTGGATGAGCTTTTTTTTCTTCAAAAGTTATTTCTTTTTAAGAAAAAAAGCACTTTTCGTTTGGATGTCTGCTTTTTAAAAAAGAAGAAGTCACAAAAAAAGTCAAAAACCTACTTTTCTCAGAAGCTAAAATTTTTAACTTTTCAGAAAAGCAGAAGTCAAAAGTCAAATATTTTTTTCAAAAACTAGATATTTTTATAAAAATATAAATAACTTTAACTTTTGTAAAAAGTACTTTTAAAATAAGGAAGTAGTAAAAGTTACTTTTAGAAAAAGCTGAACCAAACGATCTCTAAGTGTTTGTTTGGATCCTCTTTTTTTTAACTTAGAAGCTACTTATAAGCATAAACTAGGTCAAACAGATTTTGGAAAAAGATCTTATAACGAAAAGCTCTTTTTTTATCATGAATAAGAGCCTGTTTGGATCCTCTTATTTTTAAGTTAGAAGCTACTTATAAGCTAAAGCTAAAAAAAAGTGCTTAAAAAAAGAAGCTAAAAGTTATTTGAAAATTACATAAAAAACTTAGCTTAAAAATTACTTAAAAGCACATATTTCAAGAAAATTATCTCTCTCAATCTTTATCACTCTTCATTTTAAAAAAAAACACACAATTCAATAAAAACAAATAAGAGCTTAAAAAAAAGCTCCTCCTATGAGCTTTTTGTTTTCAGCTTTTTTCTTCAATATAAAAAGAAGAGCTTTTCATTATAAGAGATTTTCTCAAAACCTGTTTGGCCTAACTTATGCTTATAAGTAGCTTCTAGCTTTAAAAAAAAGATCCAAACAGGCACTAAAAAAGCTTTTTTAAGCTCTTATATGTTTTTCTTGAATTGTGTGCTTCTTTTTTAAAATGAAAAGTGATAAAGATTAAGAGAGAGATAATTTTCTTGAAATATGTGCTTTTAAGTAATTTTTAAGCTAAAACTTTTATGTAATTTTCAAACAGCTTTTAGCTTCTTTTTTTAAGCTTTTTTTTTAGCTTTAAATAAGAGGATACAAACAGGATCGAAGAAAATCTCAACTACTTTTTCTGCCTATCAAGTAGAAGACTCGTTAGCATCAATTCCTTCATATGTCAATAAAGTTGTAGAGATGATTATGCACAAAATTTGGGATAAAATCATCAAGTAAAATGTTATTGAAGAGGTAAAAGTACTATTCACATATTAAAAAGTATTTATATTTCAGAAATAGAAGCACAAACCTTATTTATATTTCAGAATTAGACGGAAAAACATTATCTTAGAGATTCAAGATAAGGACATGAAAGAGTCTATATAACTTACACATGTTGTACACCATAATTGCCATCTTCCTATACTACTACTATAGCTTTTAAATTTCTTAGTTTGCGTATAAGCTCTAGCATAATTTGACATGGCCAGCAAAGAAGTAACCTCTGGAAAAGTTGTGAAAGACAAGTACAGATCCTTATTGCATGATGAAGCTGAGAACATCCAGTGGAGACATGGTGGCCCTCCCACCTATGATGTTGTTAACCAGCTTTTTGAAGAAGGAAGAACCAAGGTGCACCACTATACCCTCTTATCCTTTCTTTCCTTCTCTATGTTTTTGTGCTCACTTTATGCATATTTTCAGGAATGGCCAGAAGGGTCACTAGAGGAGACAGTGCAAAATGCTGTTAAGTCATGGGAGATGGAGCTCTCACACAAGACCCGTTTGCAGGACTTCAAGACCATAAACCCTGAAAAGTTCAAGCTCTTTGTTAATGGTAAGCAGTTACGTGTGTCAAATTTGTTTCTTCATCTTTTTCCATGAAAAAAGTTTGTGGTATGATAGATATTTTGATTTAGTATATTAATGCTTTTTTCCCATGCATTTTTTCTGTTGTACCTTACATTTCTCATCATAAACATTAGTCCCAAAATTCCACAGTAAAGATCAAATTTGGCCTTATCCACCGACTTGGACAAAAATTGCTTCAAGTTTGGGTTGTGGACTTAGTTCTGAAGCAACAACAGATCCCCATAAGATAGAATCTAAAACATTTTCATTTCCTTTATTAGTCAGAGTAGATATTAAATATTAGTTACACATCAATCTTATTTTTTCCTATTAGTATATTAGTTGTAGGTTGTGTTTCAATATTGGACTAGATATAAAAAATAATCAATCTTCTAAACATCTTTCAATTGCAGGAAGGCAAGGATTATCTGCAGAGGAAACTCTAAGCTTAGGAAGTTATAATGCTTTGTTGAAAAGTTCTCTGCCAGAAGACTTCAAGCCTTACAAAGCAGATGAAGAGACTTTTGAATCATCTCATGAAGTCTTCAGATCAGCTTTTCCTAGAGGGTTTGCATGGGAAGTGATCAAAGTTTATGCTGGACCACCTGAAATTGCTTTCAGGTTCAGGCACTGGGGCTTCTTTGAAGGTCCTTTCAAGGGACATGCCCCTACTGGGAAGATGGTCCAGTTCTATGGCTTGGGAATTCTCAATGTACTACTTTTACTTTGTTTCTATAATGTGAAATCAAATGTTGAAGTTTAATTGTTCTTGATAAAAACATTAATTTTCTCAGCAAAATAATTTTTTTTTCCACCATGTATTGATTATTACTAACGTGATTTTACAGCTATTGATGCATTATAAAATGTACTTTATTTGAGGCTATATCACAGTCATGACTCATGAGTTTTAATTTCTTTGCAAAGGTGGATGACTCTTTGAAAGTTGAAGAGGTAGAGATTTACTATGACCCATCAGAGTTGCTTGGAGGACTTCTATCAGGGATGCACACAAATTACCCCATAAAGGAAGGCAGTGACACCAAAACTTCAGCAGCTTCTGAAGAATGTCCTTTCTCCAAATAATTACAATTTAAGTTTTAACATTTAAGTGAATGATATCCTTTGAACTAGCTATATTTCTCTCAAAGGAGAAAGAAGATATTATTTGTTTGATAAATGTGGTCCGGTGAATAAAATTGGGAAAGTGACAAAATGAACTTCCCTTTCATTTTTTGTTTTATTTTATGGAAAACTATGGGATATACATGTGCCGTGTCTGGTTGCTGCCTTATGTTTCTTTGTGAAGCAATTATGCATATGACAAGATGTGCATGTTTGGCTGTGCTGTTGTTACATAGCTTAAAAGTTGGAAGTTATTTTATTTTATTTTTGGGGTGGGAGAGCTATCTAGTAATGTCATGAGGCTCGACCAGTTTGTGACCAAGTTAGCTTTCATGTGGCAGCAAGATCTATATTGTATTGTTGAATAAAAGCATTTAGAGCTTTTACTCAATGCACCTTTTAAATAATTAAATATCTATAGATTTTTTTAGAATATCACTCAACAACGTCAACAATACTTGTTAGCAACAATACCAGATGGGTCGAGTGTTTTACCTGAAAAGACTCAATCTTTTGGTTCATCGCCTGAGAAAAATGAAGTTGCATCATCGCGTCGTGACTATCCAATGCCTCTAGTGGTGGCAAGTCTGTGTCTTCTTCGGCTTCAGGGTTTTCTCTACCGTCACCCTAGTAAGCATGGACATTCCAAAAAAAATAGGAAGTGTCATGTTCGACACATCACACGTTTCCGATACGCGGTCAATATTTTTAACATATTAATTATTTCGACACTTGAATTTGACCGTGTTTGACTTCCGGTCAAATGTTATTTTTGTAAAAATATTATATTTTTTTAAAATAATATTTTAATAAAGCTTTCACCTAATCATATCAATTTTTTTTTCCTTTTTTACCCTTAAGTAGGTAGTAATCGTAATAGATCATCTTAATATTATCGTTGTCATTTCTGTTACGCTCTTGCTGGGTTTTCTTCTCTATGATCTCTCTCTAATCTGATCTGATCTCTCTCTCATCCCAGTTCTTTATTTTATTAAAGCTTTCACTTTTATAACGTTTGATTGTGTTCTTTTATTTTACAGTGTATTCAGTAAATAATTTTAAATTTAGTTCCTTTTCTTTTAGTTTATGTTTTTGCCTTTTGTGAAGAATGTTGCTACGATTTTTTGGTATTGGGTGTGGTGAATTATTTTCTATTGTTGCCATTGATTACATCAGATTTTTGTTTTTATTTTTTTTCCTTTTTTTCTCCCTCTATGTAACACCTTGAATTCTGACTTTGAACCAATTTTTTAGTGGTTTTGGTTTGGAAAGGGAAATTGAAAGATAAAATGTCGATCAGTATTATTAATTTAGTTTTATTTTTTTTATTAAATTATTGAAAATAAATGAAATATATATTATATAAATTAAAAAAATTATTTAATATTAAAACATGTCTGTCGAAATTCATATTTTTATAGGATTAACATGTCGAAGTGTGATTGTGTCGTGTAACCATTAAATAACCATCACCTGATAAAGTGACTATGATGCATCACGGTTTGGATCAGTCTGCGACTACATCTGATGTCTCAGATCGATACAGGCATTCTCCTCTTTCATCTTTGCATTTGTCAATTGTCACCAACCTTGCTTTCATCACCTTAGAGAGAATTGAACCCTCAATCAGCACCACCTGAATTCAGTGATCCAATCCCACATCTTTCCCATAACTTTTTCAACTTCATAGAAAATGATTTACTCATAAAAGAAAGAATATGAGATATCGATTGGCAATGGATTCTCTTTGAAAGGGTTGGTAAAAAAATAAAGCTGAATAATTCCACATCAATTTCATAATTCATATCCATTCTTAAAAGATGAACATATATGAATTAAAATGTATGTAAATTAAGTTCTACAGAGAAACATAGAAAGCTTGAAAAGTAAGAAGGTTGGAAGCGGGAATTTCTTTGGTGCTACGGATGCACCAGAAACTCGATGCATCTTCTACTCATATTGTGAAACGTGTCTTACTTTTGTCAAATCAATAATAAATAGTTTATTTTAAAATTAGGAGAGAGAATGATTTGATATAAAGTAAGACACATGTCACAGTATGAATGGAAGATGTACCGAATTTTCAGTACATTTTTAGTACCAAAGATATTCTCGTTGGAATGAGATTTTAGATCCCAGCAACCATAAATTTAATTTAATTTAATTTTCAAATTAAAAGTTCTCGCACTTCGAGTTGACAATACAAACATTTTTCTGTTTTGTTTTCCATAAATATTACGTGACTCAATTTAATTTCTTAATTAAAACAATTGACTTATGATTTTTTTAAAATTCAAAATAAATTCATATTAATCTTTTTAAGAAATTAATATAAGTTTTCTTTGAATTTTAAAGAAAATATAATTTTAATTAATTGAATCTATTTTAAATTTAAAAGAATTATAAATTAAATTTTTTTCAAGAAATTAAAATAAGTCGCATAAATTTGATTAAGGACCATTACTTTACTCTAGAATGAAATTACTCCAGACTTCACGATACATCCCGATGAAATATTCATTTATGAAAGAAGGATCAGTATCCGAGACCATCATTTTTTTTTTGTCAAAATCAAGAACACAGTACTTTACTTGTCATTATCTACAAACTAGTACTTTGTAGCAGTGTTGTAAAATCAGGCCCGACCCGGTCATCAGATCGGTTCGGATCAAGTATTGGATCAGTCATGCATCGACCCGGTCAAATTCGATCAAAACCCGATCAAACCCGGTGATCCGGTCGGGTCATGCATTTTAAAAAAAAAAAACTAAAATTGTTTAATCTTATTAAAAAAAATGTAAAACTTATTTTAAATTTTTTTTGTAATTTTATTTGCTAGTATACTCTTCCACAATGACTTCTTAGTTTTCAATACTGAAGTAATTTGTGGGATAATAAATCAGAGAATGTGACATATGTTATTTTAATGTAGTTGAATTTGAAAACTATGAGTTCAATGTCATTAAAAGGTATGTTTATGAGGATTCTGAGTTGCAATTTAAATTGACATAGTAATAACATGCACTTTTATTTATTTATGTTTCATGTTTTTTAGCTTATCTAATGAACCTTGTTTAATTCATTTTAGATATGGATAATATAATTGAATTTATATGTTCATATTTATATATATTTTTATATATTTATATATATCCGGATCAACCGGTCAGACCAGTGACTCACCGATCCGACCAGTGACCCAGTGATCCAGTACCCCGACCGGATCGATGTCCGAGTCAGGTTTAATAACACTGCTTTGTACAACCAATATCCGGAATAAACTTTAATTTCCACATGCAAATTTATGAAAATAAAGCCTTTAGTCAAAAGACTACTCCAACGTGTTTGTTACCCAGATCATATTGGAATTTCTTGAAAAGTTTGAAACGGACAATTACAATATCATGTTTGGTACCAATAAATGCTAATCTTTTTTCAATAAAAAATTTGCCTGATTTTTTTTGCTATGTGTAAACTCTTATACGGCTATCTTGTTAGAAAATTCATAGATTAGGTGGTATAATTTTTTGCATGGAGAAGTAAAAAGTAACCAAAATAATATTGACCAAAAATTTTGAATGAAAAAGAAAAAGTGGAGTTATGTTAGTAAAATAACTCCACATTCCTATTATTATTTCACAATCAACCAAACATCAACTTAGTAAACTTAATCAAATATTCTCGGGACAAATTTTGGTCAACCAAATACATTTTTGTAACTTAACTAGAAAAAAATATTTGTCATCACATTTCGACAAAATTATTTTCTTAGTAATTTTTTTTCTCCTATATCAAATGTCCCATAGAATTTTTTCTCCTATAGTAACCAATGAACCATGGGAAAACATTAAGATGGTGTTTGGTAGGTAGGTAAATTTTAAAATTATGAGAAAATAACTTTGGATTCTTATTTTCCAATGTTGGGTAGAAGGAAATCCAAAAACATTTCCTAGGATTTTTACATTCTTGGGATTTAACTTTACACACAAGAATCCCAACTCAAAATACCATTGAAGATGTAGTATTTTAGAAATTTCATATGGTGGGAAAATATTAACCCAATATTTTAGGAAATATTTTGGCCTACTAAACAACCTTTTGGTAACATTCTCGGAAAATTCACGTTTCCATCATATTCTTCGAAATCGTGATTCTCGGATAAAAAAAAAATTCTTCTCTACCAAACGTCCCCTAAGGAGAATATTAGTTCATTCCTTATAGAATCAAAACTTTTATAATAGCTTTGTACTTATAACAAAAGAAAATACTACTCTCATTTTACATGATATAGTTATCTCATATTCTCTCATTTCGTAAATTGTACCCTTTTTTTTTATAAAAATATTTCTGCAGTTACTGCAATAAGTTATATGCATTTACTCCAAAAACGACGTAACTTTGGGATTGAAATATTAAAAAATTATAATTATAAAGACTGTTATAATCCTAAAATAAATTAAAAAATTACAAAAACACCACGATTTTCTCTCTAAAATGACGTCGTATTAGGCTTACTGCAGATAACTTATCTGCAGTAACTACAGAAAAAATGAACTTTTTTTTTTGCTTTTTAATGATGGGTCCCATTTGAATTCTCTCTGTAGCATGAGAAAATTATTCTCATGTAACATTAGAGTAATATTCCCCTATAACAAAACCAAAGGAGCTTCATGTATTAAAAAAAAAAAAAAATCAAAGGAGCTTCCTTATAGTACCGAAACTTTTATAGCAGCTTTGTACTTATAACAAAATCAAAGGAGCTTTATGTATTAATAAATAATAAAAAAAAAACGAAAGGAGCTTTTCTACCAGCAAATGGATTCAATTAACTCTTCATACAAGCAGGTAATATTACTTCTCCTCCTTAGTATACTACATATAGAATCTGGTTATCTAAGAGAGCAAATTAAGATAGCACATCAAAACTCTCCTCCATCACATACAGAACAGAAGTTCTATTCAGTTTTTGCTATATGGATTACAGAAAGATAAAATCACATGACAGTAAGGAAACGAGTGGAATGAACATTTAGCCCATACACACAAAATAGAACAAAATTAAGATTGAGGGAAATCAGCAACGTGTCTGTGACAAGACAAGTGACAACAGATTCTGAAAAATAGTTCTAAGGCCAGCGACACACCATAGTCCGCTTCCGAGGGGAGCAGATGGCCAAGAGAGTGAGAACAATAACAAGCGCCATGACAAGTCCCGTGAAATCAATACAAAGCACCGTGTGAACAGTCTTCTTCCCCATTGCTATATGCTTTAGCCTGTGAAAATCCTGCTCTGAGAAAAAGAAGATTAAGTCAGTGCATGTATGGCCATAGTCATAGTATTCATGTTATTTATTTATAACTTGTCTCTTCCTCTTAATTTCAAGGTTTTGAGTATTGCGTCAATGTTGACTTGCAAGTTGCAAATAGCACGATGTAATAATAATCTTTTATTACAAAAAAATTTCAATTTTGTTCTGCGAAGGTAGTTAATTTAATGCATTTTAATCGCAGCTTTGTTTTAAAATTAAAAAACATAGCTCCAAGCACATTTTCTTAGACCATCCATCCCAACTACAAGTTTCATATTCAGTGTCAATTGACCTCGTGTACAAAATTTATGGTCACCCCCTAGCTTACGAAACGTTTATTTTTTTTTATCTTTCCTTGACATACCTACCTACAACAACCTACTAACCAAACAACAATCTACTAACCAAACAACAATATTCAAGATCTTAATTTCTAGAAATCGTGGATTCCACTAATCCTAATCCCAAACTTAGGACTAAACCAAATCATTGACGTGGTCTTTGATCTTTTTTTCTTCTGAGATTTAAGAAGCTAGTCATCAAAATAAACTCATAAGGAAACGAAATCAGCTCCGTTAGCCTGAATTGAAATGAGTTATTCCCAGATTAACATTATTTTTTCAATTGCATACACAAGATATCTTTCCTCAGGGATATGATTCGTTTATAATTTTGTTTTGCAATTACACTAATGTAGGACCGGTCGTACACTGTGTGATTAATGTAGAACCGGTCCTACATAGTGTAATTTGTAAACAAAAAAGTTTGTAAATATAACATGCCCCTTTCCTCAACATATTTTACACTAAACTTTTTTTTTTTGTATACAATTTTACACTAAACTTTGTAAGATTAACTAATATGAAAATCATGTCACTTGCTTCTTTTATGTACAAATCTTTTTTGCTATAGTCGTTAATTGTAATTAGACACATTAACTAGCTGAGTCAAGTCAATGGCTCAAGTGACATAAATTGGTGGGGTTTACATATAGTATACAAAATCAATATAAAGTACCCTTTTTTGTACTTACCAGTTGGTCAGTTACCATAAAAAAAAGGGTTTTATTACTCTCATTCAACATAAGATAGATATCTTATGTTGTAGAGAGAAAATAGGTGGGTCCCACCATTACAAAAAAAAAGAAAAAAAAGAAAAAAGTGAGGCACGAAAATCGAAGAGAGAGAAAATGAGAGATGATATCTCATGTTGAAGGAGAGTAATATTTCCCTAAAAAAAATCATTGAAATGAGAAAAAAAAGAAGAGAAAAATAAAATAAAACAAAGGCATTTGAGAAGATAAGTCCCATCAGCCTCTGCTGTTGAAAACTTCAAAAATATGTTTTTACTATTTTATATTTTAAACATGTCCCTTATCATTCTTCCGTTGTAGTCTAGTTGGTTAGGATATTCGGCTCTCACCCGAAAGACCCGGGTTCAAGTCCCGGCAACGGAATCTTTTTTTTAATTGACCCTTTTTATTTAGAAACTTATTCCCACTACGTATGTGATTCTATTCTATCAAAAAGTGTGAATAGTTGAACCACGATAACTACAGAATAGTACACAAAAACTTAAATGAAACAAATGTTTCAATCAATTCCAAGCTTGAACCTCTCTTTGCATGAGAAAGCATTAACAACACTACAATAAGAAAAACTATGCCTAGTAGCAACCAACTTGCTTCCTCAGTAGCTCCTTTTGCAACATGAAACATGGTTTTTTTTTTAAGGTTACAAAGTGAGTCTAACATGCTAATTTCACTTTTCTTCTAGTTCGTATCTCTCAAGAATATTAGACTTACAACATATCCGATAGCAACCAATTGAATTATAGTTTTCCAATTTCCAATCTTAGCTTGAGCAGCAACCAACTCTTTTCAGTGCAGACACATCATTTTTAAGGTCTATTTTCTCTCCTTTGGCTGGCACAGATGCAGTTCCATTTTCAGCAGCACCCTCTACTGCTTTCTTGCTAACAATTCGGTAGATTTGAGTCAGAACTTCAGCAAACGCATTCTCTACATTAGTAGCCTCCAGAGCTGAGGTTTCCATGAAGTAAAGTGATTCTTTCTCAGCATAAGATTTCCCATCTTCAGTTGATACAGCTACAAGGTGACGAAGATCTGATTTGTTCCCCACAAGCATCACAACAATGTTGGCATCTGTGTGATTCCGCAATTCTTTCAGCCATCTGTCAACATTCTCAAATGTCGCATGGCGAGTGACATCATACACAAGAAGTGCACCAACTGCCCCACGATAGTATGCGCTGGTGATGGCGCGATACCTACAAAGAGAAACAATTTGAATTAGCAACATGTAATTTGGTAGGAAAGTCAACTTACAAATTTGGATATTGTCAAGCAACAATGCAAAAAATTGTGTTCATTAAGGTGGTCACTAGGCAAAAGGACAGAAATCAAGAATGCACTTAGTCTTGGCATTGGTTACAGAACTTAAACTGCAATTTCATACCTAAAATTTTGTAAGTTGGATAATCACATATTTCACAATTCCTCTAAACAAAGATTAGAGTCAATACGAAGTCATTGGGGCATTTCAAGATGACTGAAAAGTACATACCTTAGTACTACTAATAATTTGCGCATCATATTTCAAGCAATTATCTCACAAGATAATTCCGGTTTACTAACCACCTCTTGCTTAAAATAGCAGCAAATGAAATAAAAATGAAGGCTTCTTGGTTTTTTTTCTTTTCTTCTGCAAATATATTATAATGGGGTAAGACGTTCCACATTCAGCGCAAACTTTGTTGGAAAAATAAATAATTTCATCAATAATCTATAGATGGCAATACACAGTATATATTAATGACTCAAGTGGTACAATTATACAAAGTCATTGGAAAGAAAATATCAACCAAATAGCTTTGTCCAAAATACAGTACATCTCTGCCACACATCCATAGTTCCACACAGCTATGTGATTTTAGCCTTTCAGATGCAACTATCAAGTGCCAATAGAGATTCTTTCAGTCAATTATAAACTCTCCAATGATATCTGTAGTACAATTCCAACAGTAGTTTATTCTTACCAGCAGGGGTCTGCTAGAAGGGTTTTGTTGGGGAAAGGGGGAGGGGGGCAAAGTAGAATTCTTTCAAGGAAATCAATGAAGAAAAAAAGAGCTATCGTACTGTTGAAATCTTGAAGGGAAAAGTTGATGGTAAACAGAACTACGGGTCAAACATTGTAACTGTAATATAACTTTTTCCCATTATGTTGCAGTGGTTGTAGTGTTTTGTTATAAAAAGGAGGCACTCTACATCACTTGAATCCTCCCATTATTTTATCATCCTCTACAAATACTTGATGCTTTCTTTTTTTACATGACTAAGTGGGAAAGATTGCGAAATTAGATTGAGGATGTAATGAGAAGTGCAATGAAGACTATAACTCATTAAAATATCATGAATGTGTCTGCAATTCAACCTAGAACCTACAACAACAAAATTACTTATCACAGGTAAACGAATATATAAATTGTATTTCTCAGAGGCCTGGGCGGAGCGGGGGACTGAAACTACACCATGCTCCACCCCTGCTTACTGGACACAATTTTCCTTGGGATAATGCAACTTGTTCCATTCTATAAGGTGCATCAAGTTTACCATAGTCTGTAGAATACAATGATTCTTCAAAATTCTACATTTCTACATTCTGATTAGGTGACCCTAAAGAAAGGTCAAAATTTTAACCTTTTCAAGGAATCTTTCATATGACATGTCGTATCAAATGGAAAGCATATAATCAATTTCTATTGGCATATGCTTAACTAAGGTTGATGTTTGACATTATTTTGCAACAACGATGCCCAACTGCTTTACATGTGCCACAGTTCAGCTGAGATCGCAGATAATCAAAGCCTACAGAACTCACACATATCAACATTCCAAATCCTTCCCAAGTTAAAAGGTAGAAAAGCAAAAGCTAAAGTTCAACATAGGGCTTACCTGTGGAACTAAAATCACAAACCAAGTGCTTGATGCAATAATTCCAAAGTCAGATCATGAAGAAAATAATATTAGAAAAATGAAAAAGCTAACAGAAAATTTAAATTTGAGCCCAATGGGAATATTCATTTACAAATATGTAGAGTATAAACAGTTTTCATTAAAGAGAAGAAGGTCAATATTTTATTAACAATATACTAGTAACTAACACCTATCAGTGCGATAAAGCACTGCTTGTGCATGAGCCATTATAAGAGGCGAATGTAGCACAATATCGTCAAATATTGCTTAGGGATTAGCCAAGTTCAACTGAACATAACATGGTTTTACTTATTAATGCACTTATGATTGAATTGGGCATCCTTCCTATTCGATGCATTCCTAAATACTAAAAATATTAATTATAATAATCAAGATACTAATTCAAGTGTTACAAATTTCTATATTAGGAAATATTTATAACCTAAAGGATACATTCGATCAAATAAATGAAATCATTCTCAATTTTTATTTTTATTTTGTACATAAATCATTCTCAATTTAAATTTGATGCAGCGTCACTAGAAAACTTTTTTAACATCATCCAATCTTGTATTTGGTGTTGACACCTCAATTAATATGAATTTGACTATGTTCACCACCACACGCGATGTCAAATTCATTAAATAATGAGGCAAATACATAAGTGTAAAATTAGCAATGCTTCAAAATTGGATTCATATCAATGACATTCGGTTTATTTTTAAGACACAAGTCAAGAATATTAGACCCCCTTATCATTAATGATCCCTGTTCCACTACTGATCTCTAAGAGTCAAATAATTACTGACTTTTAACTCTATAAACTGAATCTATCAGATGCAACACTTATTTCATTACTCGTCATGGAAGTATATAACTAAGCTAACTCCAAAAACACATAATTTTTTATTTTCCTTAAAACACTAAAAACTAATTCAATATTATTTAAATTGGACACCATTCAAGCTTTTCAAGTGAACTTTCACACAAGATCACGATCCACCCAAATATAAGAGAAACACAAACGACCCAATAAAACCCGAGTCAAGCATCAGTAACTTGATATCACGAAAGAAAATTAGATCCATTCAACCAAAACTAACCTTCAAAAGCACTTTTTTTTTAAGCAAAAAAAAAAAAAAAAAAAACTTTTTTACTTAACTCAAATTAGAGAACTAGAACTTAACTACCCATTTGTTACTTCATCGTGATTTTCCATTCCATCTAAACAAATCAGCCAAAGCAAGCAACCAAACATGTACACATTAGAAAAAAACAAAAACGAGAGACAGAGAGAGAGGATGATGAAAAGGACCTCTCTTGGCCCGCAGTGTCCCAGATCTGAGCCTTGATGACTTTGGCATCGACTTTCAAGGTTCTGGTTGCGAACTCGACACCAATGGTGGATTTTGACTCAAGGTTGAACTCGTTCTTCGTGAACCTCGAGAGAAGGTTCGATTTTCCCACGCCGGAGTCTCCGATCAGCACCACCTTGAAGAGGTAGTCGTAGTCGTCGTCTGCTCTGTAACCCGCCATTGTTGCTCTGTTCAGTGCTCTTCTTCTTCTTCTTCTAGACAGAGAAAAAGGAGAGAGAAAGAAGAAAAAGTGCAGGGAGTGGAGTGTGAAGCGAGAAAGCGCCTTGAAAAGGCGCCACAATTAGAAATCATGTTATTTTAAGACTTAAAAATAATAAAACAAAATAAAATAAAAATTAATTAATGAAAAAATATTTATCATTTAACTTTTTTAAGAACATAATTAGAGATAACAAAGTGAGCTCTGTGACCCGCCCCTTCATTTAACGGTCAAAAAGTGAGTTGGCCTGTCTTATCCCATTTTTTAGGATGGGTTGAAAAACTCACCTATCCATCCTATTTGGTGGAGGGAGTGGGTTGACCCGTTAACTCAAACCTATTTTACATTGATTTGTCCTGCCAAAAAATAATATAAAACTCAACCTTTCCTGCCTTGTTTAGCCGGCAGGACGGTCGGCATGCCGAGCTGAGCCCATTAGTTCAATTGAAATAAGAGAAAATTATATTTACAAATTTTTTGTTTATAAATTACTCTATATATGACCGATAACACACTCTTGAGTAGTGTATTACTGGTCAAAAATAATATAGGTCGTAAAAAAAAAATTATCAATATAACCCTACTTTTAAAATAATATATATATTAATTGATTTTTTAGGTTTTTTCTTTCGTAATACTCTTTTTAGAATGTAAATGCTAGTAAATATATAACAAAATTTGATTGTTTCATTTAAAATAATAGGAAGTTTTGTTATTTAAATTGATAAATATATTTCTCTTAATTAATATGTTTTATTCTATCATTAATTAGTATAAAAATTTTAATGTATAAATAAAAAAATTATTAAAGCGATCATGAATAAAGTGATCAAGTTTTCTATGATTAACATTCCTTGCTTAGATTTTTTTTCTTCTTCTATGAGTTGCATTATTTATTATAGAGTAAATACTATTTTTGGTCTTTAGCAAATTTTATAATACCCGCTTTAGTCCTTAGCAAATAAAAAGGTCCATCGTAGTCCCTAAAAAATTCAAAATGGTTCAATTTTAATCTTTTTAGGGACTAATATGGGTCTTTTTTGAATTTGTGAGGGACCACAATTTTAACTAAATGAGTCCATTTTAAATTTCTTAGAAATCATGATGGGCCTCTTTATTTGCTAGAGACTAAAACAGGTATCGTAAAATTTACTGAGAATCAAGAAGGATATTTACTCTGTATTATATGTTGTCATTTTCTTATGATTTAGCACGGTCCAGTAAATTATAAACAAAAGTCACTTTCACGCGTGTTACAAAAAAGTGTCAAATTTATGATGACAGGTCATGTTAGTTTTAAGTACTATGCTTGTAAGCCTAAACAAACGAGAAGAGACATTTTAAATTATTAAGGGCTAGTGTTCATATTGTTAATGTATTGTATACAATTAATTATTTTAAAGGGTTAGTTTTAATTTTGATGTTATGTCAATGTTTTTCTCATGCTATGTGAGATAGTATTATCTCATGTAGAGATATAATTGGGTGGGTCCCACGGTTAAAAGAAAAAGAAAAAGAAAAAAAATACTGACTCGGATTGCGATGTGTCTGTGACATGAGATAAAAATTTTTATGTAACTTGAGAAAAATATTTCTCTATGTTATTATCTAAATGTTTTGTATTTGTATTTAGTAGCATATTGCCGCATTATTTAATGATTTTGATATTTCATGTAATTAATATAGTCAAATTCATTGAATAATGTGTCAAGATATATATTTTAATGGTAAATGTAAAATATTTTTTAAGGGTTATCTTTATCTCATTTTACATGAGATAAACAATTTTCTTACACACACAAAAAGGGGTTGGGTCCAACCACTCTTTTTTCTCTTTCCTCTTACCTGTGGGTCTCACTTATACTTTTATTTTTACAACATGAGATAATTTTTTTCCTACAACATAAGAAAAATATATCAAGTTTTAGAACAGTGATATGATTGTTTGTTTGTGATGTGGATTTGCCTTTTTTATTAGGAAAATATGTTCTTATATTGCATGACATAATTTTATCTTATGTAACACATAAAAAATAAACGAGACTCATTTTTTTCCTTAGTGGATTTCATCCATTTTTTTTGTGTTGCATGAGTCTCATGTTTTCCCATTTTATTATATGTGAAAAATTTAGTTATTTTATTAATATTGTGAAGTATTTTATAATTATTATTAATATAAATAATATGATTATAATGTTTCATTTCGCTTGTAGCTAATTATAAGGTTCACAATTAATCTTTTATGATTTACTAACGTAGCCATTGATACAATGACAATTATGTGATTTACTAACCTAATGTTTTGTTATCCAACTTTAATTGTCATTTATAGATTAAAATGAAATTCAAAATAGAACTCAATTGTTAGTGTTAGTGAGCTTAACTTTGTACCGCATATAAGGTAAAAGGGAAAAAAGTTTTCGATGTTACTTTAGATAACTTTATCTAATGTTCATCGAAACGACGTCGTTTTGAGGTTGAAAAAGTAAAAAATTAGAGTGATAAAGACTATTGTAACCCTGAAATAAATTAAAATTACAAAAATACCATGATTTTCGTCCCAAAACGACATCGTTTTGACGAACATTAGATAAAGTTATCTAAAGTAACATAAGAAAAAACAAACCCAAGGTAAAATATGCCATTATAAAGATGCTCTGAAAGACCGTAGTATAGACTAAAACTCTTGAGGGAGTCAATGTTTGTATATCTCAAAGGTGATTGAGAAACGAGAATGTGTAATAGACAAAATGATTTGATATTTTGACATAATAACAACTCATAAATGCAATGGATGTAAGGTACCCCTTCAATGGGTAAATTATGTATGTGTATGTGTGTGTGATATATATATATATATATATATATATATATATATATATAACCCCCAAGGGTAGCTCAGTTGGCAGCTGAGCTCCCAAGGGATTGTTTGGTGCAGGGATCAAACCCTGCCTCAAGCAGTTTCTTGGAAAATCTTTGGGGGCCAGAGGATAAGCCAAAAAAATCTTCGGTTGGGGGATTAGTCTCGTCCTTTCTCCGGTTGCGAAGCTTAGTGCACCCACTGTTACAATGAGGGGCTAGCCCAAACGGGCCGTACCCCGAGGGCATGGTGCCCGGAGAAGGTTGAATGGGGATACCTCCTGGCAATGTACCCAAAAAAAAAAAATATTCCTTAATGATGAAAGATAATGTGAGCTATAATCGTTTTATCTATGACCTCACTATTGTGAGTGGTGTAGAGCACCACTAAGTCTATGATGGTGAGTTGTATTGTGATGACACCAAATTCTGACAATATATGTGTTTATATATGTGTGTGGGGTTTTCGTTTGTCATGTTACAGGAAAAGGAGGAGATTCTTGCTGAGACAAGATTTTGTGAGGCTCTCATTAAAAAAAACTGAAGCACGAAAATGAACTATCTATAACATGACAAAGTCACATTCCTGCAACATAACATTTATAAAACTATATATATATATATATATATATATATATATATATATATATATATATGACAAAGTCACATTCCTGCAACATAACATTTATAAAACTATATATATATATATATATATATATATATATATATATATATATATATATATATATATATATATATATTCCAAAAGGACTAAATCGTGATACAATAATTGGCTACAATAGCAAAGATACCATTAACAACTCTAGAACATACTAACAAGATGAGACAGTATAAGACATTGCACACATAAAGAACGACTCAATACAGTAGAATCAACTCCATCTGATAAAAGAAAACCCTACAACCAACTCCCTCAACAAAGAAACGAACATATCTTCATTGAGTTCCCTTTTCCCAAATACTTGTGTTAATTATTTTCTCCTCCCCCACTATTCCATGTTTCCCCACTTATAACTAACTTCTCAGCACTTCAGCACCATTTTCTCCACTTTCTTCTTCTCCATTCAACACATTCCACGTGGCAACTTTACTAACAAACTCCTTTTTTGTCTGTTCCCCTAATTCCTTTAAATTTCGATATGCTCCTATTCCATTGGTATGCTACTGTTGGGCTTGATCTGCTCCTATTCCATTGAGTTACTACTGTTGGACCTTATTCTTCTTTATTTTTTTGCGTCTATAAACCAATAGTGGCCCATCACTACTTCCCTCGCTGAGATTCACCTTGTCCCCAAGGTGAAAAGATGGAAACAACTCTTGCAACTCCAAATCCTCCCAAGATTTGGCCATCACCTTAGGTTGTCATTCCCTATTCAAGCTTCTCAAAACTTTAGTTACCAATTGAAAATTATTGTATGAAGCTACTAATGCATCCAAATGAGTAACAATGTGAGTAAATCTCTTTTGCATATACTTTGAATAGTTCACCATTATTCATTTCAAATAATTCAAATTCTTTAGTTAATCCAAGAATTTTAGAAACTTTAACTTCACTAGTACCTTCATGTGTTACTTCAAGTACATCCCATATTTCTTTTGCGGTTTTGCAAGAAGCTACACGTAAATATTCATCTCTACCTAATGCATTGATAATCAAATTTCTAGCCTTAACATTCCATTTTGCTTCTTTAATTTCTTCATCCGAAAATTCCTTCACTTTCTTTGGAACATCATTGTTTCTTTCATCCTTTTTGGTAGGAATTTGATATCCCTCATCAACAATGTTCCAAAATTCTTAAATCAATAGACTCAAGAAAAATTTGCATCCGACTTTTCCAATAAGCATAATCGGTGCCATTAAAGAAAGGAGATATTGTGGTTGAAGTTCACTCAAGAGGCATATCATTGTTCAAATAGGTCATCCCTACTCTTGAAGCGGTTAAGCTTTTTATACAAGATTCCAAGCTCTGATACCACTTGTTGGACAAGTGGCCTCAAACTCCAGAGAGGGGGGGGGGTGAATTGAGTTTTAAAAATATTTTCGCAAAATGCCTCATTTTCTTTCTTGAGAACGAATTTCTTGAGTTAATATGATTTTGACACAAGCAAAGCTTAAAGAATAGAAATTAATACAAG